CTGTTGAATGATGGGAAAATCAGGAGATGAGAGCAGATCGAATAAATACGGGTAGTTTTTGACTCATTCATTTAGTGAACGTTTGAAGTTACAACGACATGGAAAAAAATGACTGATGACTGGTTTTTCACACTTACGGCCGCTGGACAGGGGATCAATGAGGAAGCCAGAGTCACTTAACAACGGTTTTACTAATTTAACCACTGCAGTGGTTTCACTTAATAACCGTGGCAAGAAAGCTCATAAAGTCACTTAACAAATGCCTCACGTAGTAACAGGAATTTTTGCGGTCAATTGTGGTTGTACGTTGAGGATTACCTGTGTTAAACTGGCACCCCACCTTTCAGGTGTATCCACAAAGAGGAAAGTCGAAGAAAAATTCGAGATGGCACCCCCAGTCCTCATACAAATCACCCCGCTACTTTCAAGCAAGAAAGTTAGGACTATATCAATCAAATAAGTGTGAGTTATTATGCATCAGGGCAATGGTGGGCTAACCTTTTGGGGCTCCTGTGCCGAAAATTGTGCGCTCGCTCGCACACACTCAGTCACGTGCCAGCACCCAGAAGGCAATGTGCACATCCCACACACACCCTGCACATGCTCGCGCAATCCCCCTGCCGCCTCCTTACCTGCACTGCGCATGCGTGCACCTTCCAGCTGATTTTCGGGTGTTTTTCGGCCTCCCAGAGGCTCGAGGGAAGCCTCTGCAGCCTTTGGAGGCTGAAAAACAGGCCCGTTTCGTCACTTCCGGTATTTCCGGAAATACAGGAAGTGACAAAACAGGCCTGTTTTTCGGCCTCCAAAGGTTGCAGCGGCTTCCCTCAAGCCTCTGGGAGCCGAAAAAGGCCCCCAAATTAGCTGGGAGGCATGTGCAGTGAGGTAAATTTGCCTGTGGCTCACATGTCCGCACAAATGGCTCTGCGTGCCACCTGTGGCATGTGTGCCATAGGTTTGCCATCACGGCATTGGGGGGGGAAAAACACACAATATCTATGCTGATTTAAAACATTTTTTTTCTAAAAGGGTTTGTTTTTATTTTCTGGACTGGAAAAAAGAAAGAAAGATTCAAATGAAAACATGGTTAGAAAGAAGAACTAACTTTTTGTATGAATGTAGAACACGGTTTTAATTAAATCACAAGGAAGCAGCAGGGACGTTCTATTTCAAGGATTTTTTTAAAAACAGGTGATTTTTTTCCCCCTTTTTAAAAAAAAAATCTAATTTTCTGCATTTAAGGATATCCAAGCTAATGTATCACTCCCTTCCTTAGAACAACACATTAATATTCCAAAAAGGGGGAAAGCCCAGAGCGAGTAATTGTGGCTAAATTAAAATTAATTATAGCCTCTTTTTCAGTGCATGTCAGCCTTCCGTTATTTCCTTTTTTTTTAACCCACAAGGATCTTTTTTATTAAAAAAAAAAAAAGTATTATTGTGCAAAGCAGAGTGGCGTTTGCAATTTTGTGATCCAAGAATGCGATAGGGATGGCAAAATATCAAAATGAGTGTAGTAATTTTGCAATCTGGGGGAAATTTTCCACGGAAGGTCAGTTTAGAAGCATTTCGCTTTTCAAACTGATCCTTCTTCCCTTCCTCTGCTTTCAACACAATTCCATGCAAAGTGTTTGCACATATAAACACTAACTCATCTTAAATCTTTGCACGTATACACACTAACTCATCTTAAATCTTAAACATTTAATATATTTTATCCCCCTTCTTGAGTAGATGTTGCTATCTTTAGTGGCAGTTGAGCTCTGTAAGGCTTATTCTATTCTCAGTTTCGGTGACTTTCAATCATAGTAGTACAGGTAGACCTGGTTTTACAACAGTGACCATTCAAAGTTACAGCGGCATTGAAAAATGTGACTTATGACCGTTTTTTTCACACTTACGACCATTGCAATATCCCTGTGGTCACGTGATCAAAATTCAGAGGCTTGGCAACTGGCATGTACTTATGACAGTTGCAGTGTCCTGGGGTCATGGGATTAAATTTTGCAAACTTCTGACCAGCAAAGTCAATGATTCACTTAACAACTGGTTCCATTGTAACTCTGGACAATCATTAAGTGAATGGATGTAAGCTGAAGATTGTAATTGGCACTAGCCAAGAGGACAAAAGTTTAATTCTAATGGGTGAAGCAGGACGTTGGGGTTCCTAAAGAAACCCAGCATGGACACAAACTATTGATCTAGAGTATGGAGTCCAACTGTTTGGAGGAATGGAATTCAGATCTGATTCAGACACAATCATGACTTCCCTGCATATTGGTTAGCTTGTAATGGTTTAAAAGCTAGCAGAAGGAATTTAAGAACCCCAAAAATAGGAGATCCCCAAAAGTGCTTTTTTCAAAGAGCAACTGAACTTACTTGTATTTTTTTTCTGAATAAAATAGAATAGAACAAATATACTTTAGAATAGAATAGAATGGAATGGAATGGAAGGGAAGGGAAGGGAAGGGAAGGGAAGGGGAGTGGAGTGGAGTGGAGTGGAATAGAATAGAACAGAATATGGAATAGAATAGAATAGAATAGAATAGAATAGAATAGAATAGAATAGAATAGAATAGAATAGAATAGAATAGAATA